ATTAACTAACTATTATTTGGCCAAACTAATAATAAGTAGCCTATTTCAGTTTTCTTGGGTGCATAAATGAGGGCTGAGAAGCGCATGTGAAATATCAGTGCAAACAAATATTTCACAGAAAATGTACTTCTAAATTCTTTCATGACGGACCGAACATTAACTATGATTTTTTCATTCACAAATGTTCGTGAGCAGAATAATCAAGGAAATCTCTAAAATTCATTTTACATATATCACTTTTTACCCTAAAATATATACAGTAGATTGATCCCATCCTCAATTCCAGAATCTTATCAAACTAGTGTTTCTGATTTGATCTAAGTCAACAAGGTTTTGCAAACAAAATTGTACACAGAGACAATTCACATCTACATGAATGATTGGGTACGGAATAGAAGGAAGAATGACAACCCCCAAGTCAGCTTGTTCGATTCTCCATGGAGTTAAACCACTCTGAACAACGAGCTTAAACGTTAAAATGACCTCAACCTGATATCAGTTACCCCATAACTTAAATTGACAAATTTTTAAATTCAACTAAACTTGAGAAACTCCTAAACAGAATTGCTGAAATAAGATGTTCAATTAACACTCATTGAAATCCCCTCGAGTCCATAACTAATCAAATGTTCAGGTGTCCACATGTTAGATAATACTAACTAAATCTAAGATCCCCTTTTACTACCCTTGCACATCATGTAATGCTCTAGTATTCAACAAAAAAGATCTAATACAATTATTAGAGCCCAACAAAGATGCAGTAGCAAGCTTCGCATATTAAGAAAAAGGCATAGAGGCAAGCTTTCCACAATAAATTGCTGAAACAAAATGAGAAAAAAATGAAAAAATCTTTGTCCATCATCTACGATTCCATTGCCATCTTCAAATACTATTTCGACATTTGGTTTCGGTGGGCTACGTCTAATGGTGCGCGCTGGGCAGTCGTCCAGATGTCGGTCATGAAGAAACGGGCGATTTTCCTCTTGCTTGCGATTTTGGGTGAAATGAAGAGCCACAAGTCTTCCTCTCGCGTTACAGATTTGGGGGGAAATGACAATGATTTGATGGGAAATGAAGTGGGTGAATTGTTAAGAGAAAAACCGGTTTGCTTTTGTTTCCGATTTATGGATTTAATTCTTTTAAAAGGGCTGAAATTGAAAAGGGAATAAAAAACGAATTATTCTAATCCAACTCAACAAATTCAAAAATATGTAATGATTCTGTGGGTATTTCCTATCCCTTCTCTCTTTCATGCTCTTCGTAGGCCGGGACAGTCCCGCGCCGCGACAGGCACCGACGAACTTTCTGTTAAACAATTTCCAGAGCCATATTCGCGGATAAAATTTTGCCGCTGTAATTTCAATAATTTCAAAAAATCCCACCTATTTCCTATGCCACGCGGCGGAATCTGATAGGCAGATAACTAGTTCTTCAAAAGTCTGCCCCAATCAAATGCAGACTCTCGAGCCTCAGCCTCGGCCTCGGTCGAACCGTTCCTTATCTGGCACAGTTCTTTGAAAAAATTCGCAACTAATATCAAATTTCGCTCTCTCACTCAATTTCTTTCTGAAAAAGCTCCCCGTTGATATTTTCGCCGATTCAAAACCCTAGAGCAGAGTTCCTCAATACGATTTTTAGCTCCATTGCTATCTGTGTCCCATCTGAATATCCATGTAAGTCTCGTTATTTATTTCATCGCATAACCCTAACACTCTTTCCGCGCACAGATATGCGTGCGGGTTTGTTGCAAGAATTTTATTTTTTTAAGAATTCATGAATTGGCTAATGTTTTGGGATTTGAAGTGTGGGAAAGGTGAATTTTCAGCTTATCTGGATGTCTTGGTCTCTGATTTATGAATTGTGATGGATGCACTTCTTTTTATTCTTATCTTTTGCAAATTTGTGGAGCAAACGTCGTATTTGAATGGAATTCACTGGGTTTTGTAATATTCGTTTTTTTATTTTTATTTTTTTTATTCCAAGTTAGGTGTGTGAACGAATTCGTATGTGTATTTGTGTGCACTGTGAGAGAATATGCCTTCAAATTTGTCTAAGTAGTTCTGATAAACTAACACAATGTCCTAGTTCAGTGTGATTTTGTCTCATTTACTTGGCTGCTTTTCTTAATTACTCATCTTTTATTTTTTGAAGTTCTTATTACTGTTATTTTGGATTTCAATCGATGGGGAATCCTTATCTTCCTTATTTTCTTATTTTTTAATGGCTTCTTGGTGGACTGTGAGAATGATGACCTTGTTCAGTGGTCGAGCGAGGGAATTACTTATGACATATTTTATCATATGCTCAAGATCTGCTCAGATGGTTCTAATTTTATTGGAAATTTCCGTGGGATCTTGAAATGCATGGCTCGTATATGATAAAAAATACTGTAAGTTTTCCTGTGATTCCTTTTTTGGTGGTTCCAGTGTGAAACCATCACTCCAAATAAAATTGCAGTTTTTATTAGTATGGGAAACTCATATGTTAGGTAATTCAAGAAATAGGATCATGCCTCTGAATCGTTTGATCTATACTTTGATCGAACCACGGGGGAGGTGCAAGGTGAGATACCCATAATTTAATTTTATTCTAGTATCACTTTCGAAGCAGGTTGATTCTATACTCTTATGCTTTCTGCAAGCATAAAATAGAGATATAAGAGTGATAGTATGGTGATGCCAAGGCCTGAGTCTTGGTCTCCAGCATGCATGTGACACTCGTTGGACACATCAAACGTGACACGTGGTGTCTTTTCTTATTTGACATGTTGAAAACAAGACACCAAGACATTTGGAAATGACAAATGTCACATTAGGGCAAACATAAAACTTGGGCAAGTTAGAAACAGGGAATATTTATTAGAGTGCAGAGTGACCATTTAAAATGGAAAGAACCAAAATATAATCTGGCCAATGATGAATCTTCCATAAGGAGGGATCATGGAGAGAAATCTTATAATCTGGAAAACCAACCGTGAATCTCCTTATGATTCTCATTGACGATCGGAGGTTTATAGACCAACAACTAAGAAATTTTAGAATGGGGGGAGAGAGGGGGGGAGAGAGAGAGAGAGAATAATATGAAGTCTGGGCCTATTATATTTAATCTTGGGTAAATTACAGTCATCGTTCCCAATATTTTAACCTCGTGGGAATCTTGTACCCACCCCTTTTCATGGCAATTAGAAGCTCAAGATTTCATAAATAGCTGTTGCCTGCTCGTACTAATAGTTTTCATCCAAAAGTTTGTCAGCATGCCTTGAAATGACAAATTTGCACTTCAACTTAAATAAATAAGAAAACAAAAAATAATAAAAAATGAGAAGAAGAAAATTGTTTCGTATGAGCACTGTCTTGTCTCTCTATCTCATGCCCATATGTACTAGTGGTCCCACCCAATCTTGCACTGTGATGCCAGCCAAAGCTCCAACAGACCAGTCATTGCTGCCAACACTCCCTCGTTCCACTTAAATCAAAATTTTGGTTTCTCTGGCGGCGATGGTGGTATTGGCCGGACACAGTGGTGGGAGCTGGGGTTGTGTTGGCAGGTTGGGTTATTCAGGGTGGAGTTAGGTTCTGGGATGTTGCTGTATGAAGAAGATGATTAGTTGGTTTTTTTTTCCCTCCATATTTTTTATATTTTTGCTTGTCTTGAGGGCAAATTTGTCATTTCATGGTACACTAATAGACTCTTTGGATGGAAATTCATTGGTAAGGACAAGCAACTCTAATTAAAGAAATGATGATCTTAGATTGTTGCAGAAAAACTTTGGGGATGGCTACCCTTTAATTTAAACATGGGCCATTTTCAATGCCTGTTATATGGCCAAGTTATTTGATAGAAATAACCTTTCCCTATACGCCAATTCCTGTTCCATCTACAACCTGCAGAAACCAGATTCTCTTTTGGTCTTACTTTCAAATTACATTTAATTTCTTCACTCTTGAAAAAAAAAAAAAATTGAATTCTTAGCATTTAATTTTTAACCACTGAATCCCCATTTTTTTGAGAAATTACACATCAGCATGCTCATGCTTCATTGATAAGGACTTGCTACTGAAACTATAACCCACCGACCAATATAAGTTGCTTGTCACTTGCATATTGTAAATTGAAATGCACAACATTATTCATTGGCGGACTTATTCCATAAAGGGAAAATTGTCATTCCTGGCTGAAGGGTTGCTGTCTATTACTGAGAATATTTTGTTAGAGAAAACCATCATGATGCAGGATCAAGATTTCATTTTTTGTCCATCTCCTTGGACTGGAATTTTTAGATTGAGTTTTTTTGTAATCAAAATTAGTATTTCTTATAGGTTTCCAACTAGAACTAAGAATATTTTCATAATTGTTGTAGGTTTTGGAATTTTCCTAGTTTCTTAACTTTGTAATTTTTACTAGTTATGGCTTTGGAACTTTTCTATTGATTTATTCTTTCCCAGTGAGAATAGGGTTTGGAGATCTAAGGTTTGTAGAGCGTATAAATTAGCAGCACTGTTCAAACATAAATTGACATAGTTTATTTATCACTTCAGAAAACTTTGGTTTACCAAGTTTTAAGTCTAAAGTACTAGCTAGGTCTAGTATTTACTTCGATCATTGCTAATATCCTTTTCTTCTTTCAATTCTATGATTTGTCGTTAAATCTTGCTTTCTCATGTCATTGAATGTTAGTGTACTGGCAATTGCCAGAACTCTACTGTTTATTCAAGAGAAAACCTTCACGTGGAAATGGACAACCTGCACGATTTTCACTTCTCTTTCTTCCTTGAACTGGTTTAGTTTTGTTCAGTCCAGTACGCCAACATGCTATCAATGGCATAATCTATAGTTCCATATTGAAATAGCTTCCATTTATTGTCATAGTTAAAATCTTCTATAATGCCACCACCTCTTATTATTGTAAATGGAAGTTTCTATCCCTTGATATTGCTGTGTAATCGCCAGAAGCATGGGTAGCAATTTGGGAGAAATGCAGAAGTCCATAAAAGAGAAGGGTAGATTTATCCCTAAATTTACATCGTGTTAATCTTATGATCAAACCTAAATTTCCCTCTCTCGAATGTTCAAATTGACTAACATCTACTCATTCAATTAGCGGCCAATTAATTGAAATCATTAAAATTAGAACGCAAATAAACGGAAAGAAAATTTTCATAAAAATAACTAAAATAAATTCGAATCATGTTCTTAAGCTTTGGCTAATCAAACCCTAGAAGAATAGTTTAGTTCATGATAGAAGTCATAAAAATAATCAAATTCAAATAAACAAAATAGAGAAGAGAATAGAAAAACTAGTTTTTGTAGGTCTTTAATCTCCTTTGCAATGTTCTTGATCTTTCCTTGATTTCTTGATGATTGCTTCCTTCTTGCCCGGTTGAATTCTCTTTTGAATTGTGGTCTTTAGGTTTGTATTTATAGTATATTGAAGTTCTGGACGAATTAGAGTTGGATTGGGCCAAGAAAATAGTCCAAAAAATTCAAAATTCCTTTTTTCTCGCCCGGATTCGTTGCGGCGCCCACTTCGGGTGGAAAAACAGCACTGTGTATCTTTTAGTATTTTTAACATAACTTCTCTTGATATTCAATTGAGGTGGATTTAAGAGGCGTTGGAAAGCTAACTCAAAGAGTTACAACTTTGCTTCAAATATCATTTTTTAATTCGAATGTTTGCTATGTCGAAAATGAGTCTCAATATGATACTAAAAATTTGGAGCATAACTTTTTCAGTTGGAAATTGATGTGTGATCATACTTTGATTATATTTCATTCATTTGCCTTTTTTCTTTATCCAATTGATTCCTAGCACTCTCGAATATTCATTGTGAGGTCCGACACAACTTTTGAATATTTGCACTTTAGTCCTCAAACTTTGGATCTCTTACCATTTAGCCCCTTTTCCAATTTTGTCAACTTTTTCTTATTTCGTTCAATTTCATCAACCGATATCACAACATCAAACACACATTGAAACGCATAGGAATTAGTTAAATATCAAATTTAGATGGTGTCTAAAGTATGAGTGAAATACCTTCATCAATTAACCTATATCTTTCAAAGATCATAGGAGGGGTTCAGGTAGCAGTGCCCTGAAGTGATACATGAAATGACTTTCTTCATGTGCTCAGTCTCTCCTTACACTTCAATCTCTTCCTTGAATTCATAATGCACTAATTACCACTAATAGCTGCTAATCAGATATTACATCCAAAAGACCTCTACCCTACATGTTTGCTCCTACAGTGCTCAACTAACGTTTGTTACTCTTTATCTTTACTTTATGTCACCCAACTTAGCCAATTAATCGCCTAATGTGCTTAGACCTATCAAAAGAAAAAGAATTGTTTGGGGATCATCTACCTTGTGCTGGTGAAAATGTTTGAAAATATAGGTCCGACGTTGCATATTCACTTGTTATTGAAATTCACGTGTGCAGTGCAAGATAAAATGTGGAGTGACAAAGGAAATGCTAGCTTATTTATCTTCATAGAATGAAGAGGAAGAGCACTTGAAGAACTTACTTTGATTGATGATTTTATAGTGGATCGAGATAATGGCTTATTATACATAGAATCCAAACTTGTTGAGTGAAATTATGAGTACTCAAGTGTTTGAATCTACATAGTGGCAGTTGAGATGGAAGAATGGAACACGGAGAGTGGCTATTTCACTGTATTGTGCAACTCCTTTAGTGGAAATTCAATCCTACCGTTGCTATGTTTGGACTGCAGAGGGTCTTATTTTTCATACTTCTTTTGTGATATCATTAGTTTTTAAGATAAACATTGCAACATCAACAGTAAATTGAGGATGGTCAGCTTATTATTGTAGGATAAACTGCAACTTAACATCAAATTCCAGGGCATTTCCTATCACATGAGCCAGAATTTTTGCCAAATCTGGACTGTTAATGTACCTATGGCCTAAGGCTGTTCTGATGGTTTTAGACTGATTAAGCTCCTTCTACCTTGTAAAATTTGATGATAAACTTTCTAAGCTTAGTCTGATGTGAAAAAGGAGAATTTGAATATGCATATCTTGTGCAGAAAATCTGGCTATCGAGGATAAAATTACAAGTTAAGAGCAATACATTTTCCTACCGATTCGTTGTTATCAGCATCCAATTTCAAGTATCCATATGTTCCGTACATTGATTTGTAATTCATTTCTGTAGACAGTTAACATAGATGTGTAGTTAACATTTAGGTGCTACCAGTGAATCTTAGAGTTAACCTCTCATCAGAGGATTCAGGTGCTTCTTATAACTTTTTTTTTTTTGTAAAACTTCTTTAAGCTTCATTTTGCTACTCATTTTTTTTTTCCGGGGCAACTAGTTCTCACTCTTTCCACGAGTTTATGAAGAATTTAAATGTTCACCCACTTTTATGTCTGTTCTAGTACAATATAAGCTTTTTTATTTGAGAGCTTTAGTTCCTTTCTGTTTCCTACTTTTTGAAGGATTATACATTGTATTCTTTTTCGAGCTTCAATTTGTTTATATTTTTAAATTGTAATATGACAATATTAAAAATGACCTACGATTATTATGACGACTAGTAAGACATTTCAATCAATTTAATAAATGAAAATATTGAATGAAATTAATTAGTTTTTTATGACATTGTTGAATAAGACTCCAATTCTTTTGGTTTTTTATAGTTGGATTTTACTTGGTAAAAAAATAGATTTGTTGTGTGAAGGAGGAAAACTGAACTCTGGAACCTAGTCAATGGTAAATGGGAGGTTATGAAATGCTTGATGTAGATATAAGCGTAAATAAGCAAACACAAAACGCGCACGTTTGTATGTGCATGGAACTTCCTTTTTTAACATTTATGAGAAGTGGAGAATTTGGACTTGTATATGATTTTTTTTATCATTTGTTTTTTCAATTCTCTTCTTAGGCTATGTTATAGGATTTTTCCTCTGTAGTAAGATAAAGGAAACATAGCTAATTTAGAGCTCAGCATAGGGCTTTCTTCGCCTCTGAAGATATGTGTGGTTTTATAAGCATCATGGCCTGTACCTGTACACACAGATAGCCACTGTAGCACAATTGCAAACATGCATGTGCAAGTACACCTACACGTGCAGATATATATTCATTTATATTCTTGGGTGGAAACGAGACACAAGGAGAGTAGTGTTTACAGAACAGTTGCCTGCTCATAGAATTCAGAACATAGGTGTGGTTATGCCTTTGTTTTAAAATGGTGGTAACCATACTGTTATATTATTTGTTATCCATCACTGGTCAGTGTTTTGATAGTGTTATATTGAATTCATTCAACTGCTTTGGCATCGTATTTGAACGTGATTAGTTTTTGTTAACTGCACTTGACCATTCTTTCTGGACTCAATAAGGTTAAGCAGCTGGCAAAGGATTTACAATATTCAAGAGAAATAGCATGAGATTATAGTCATTTTTTTTTTCAGACATAACTTCAATTTTGATGTTGTGTGGATGGATACAGGTGAAGAAACTATTTTAAAACTTAAACTAGTGATATCTTTATTTATCAATTTTAGCATATCAATGCTTAAAAGCTGAAAGTTTGGGTTTGAATCTATGCCTGGAAGCGAACTTTAACAGCAATTTCTCTTAAGGAAGCCAGAGGCGAATTGTTGTAGTGGATTCTAATAAATATTATGGCCTCGTTTGTTTCCCATTTATGTAAAAATGAGAATGAAAAATATAGTCGTTACGGATCTTACACAAGAGATATAAATTCAAATATAATGGCTTGATGTGATGGATAATATTCATATTTTTCATTTTAATGGGAAACAAATAGGGGCTATGTCTACAAAACTCAGGTATTTATAAATGGCTGCTTGAAATCTAAAGTTAGCATGTAAATTCTTTTTGATAACTTCTGAAGGCAGACAGCCTGGAGATATTCAGCTAATGCCTTTTTGTTTTATGAACAGACAGAGATAGAGTATCGAGCAATTTTCCTCTTCATGCATCACAGAGCTTGAACTTCGGTCAATCAACTCTGAGGGCTGATTTTATTAAAAGTCAGTCCCAAAGCGAATGATTAGATTTGAATGGCTCGATGTACAACAGTCAGTTTCAACATACTAGGCAGAGTGAAGCAAACTTTCTGGCAATGGAAACAGACTCTAATCAGCTGAATCTTGTAAACTCTAGAGGCTTATCTATCCGTGCATTAGAGCAAAGGAGCGTTCTTGACCATCAAGCAAAATCTTCAGTTAGATTAGAAGCATCGGTATCTCCCGTCAGTTATGATCATTTTGGTGGTCAGCAGCAGATGAGTCATCACCATCCAAGCATGCTGCAATCTTTGCAGCATCAACAGGCTGGGTTCAACGAGTTGCAGCAACTACAACAAGAAATCATGTTAAGGAAAATGCAAGAGCTCCAAATGAAGCAGCAACATCGGCAGCTAGATTCAAGGCAACAAAATTTATTAAATCAGAATTTCCCCTTTCCTAAGCAGACATCTGGCCAACAGTCCTCCCCCCAGATCAACGGAGGTACTCCAAGTTCTGACACATTCCATTACCCTTGGGTGGCTGATCACGGTAATTCCAATTGGTCGCATCATGGTTATCCCACCATGCAAGAGTCTCTCAACGTTTCTCCACTAAACCTTGGCCAGGCACAGCATTCAGGGGATGTAGTCCCTCAACTGGCTGATCAATCTCTTTATGGAGTTCCTATTTCTGGCTCAAGGGGTTTAACTGTGAACCAGTATTCTCAGATGGTGATGGATAGACCTTCAATGCTGCAGACGTCAACCTTTTGCAATGCCCTTCCAGGTATTCAACTTGCAGATCATGTTAGCATGCAAGATGGGACATCAACATCTAGACACAGATTTCAGAATGAAAATTTGCTGGGAAATGTTTCTCGTCAAGCTCTTAATGCTGAGATAAATATGGAGAGTGCCCAGCAAGTGAATCTCATTCAAAGAAATGCAACTCAGCAGGGCTTCAGAGGGAGGCAGAATCAATCTATTTTACAGGAGCTCTCACATGAAAAACAGACAAGGCAATACTCTTCGAGTCAGAATGAAGTTGCCCTAGATCCTACTGAAGAAAAGATATTGTTTGGTTCAGATGATAATATATGGGCTGCTTTTGGCAAAAGTCCTAATATTAGTGGAGAGGTGGGTAGTTTGTTTGACAATGGCAGATTGTTGAATGGGATTCCTTCTGTTCGAAGTGGTAGTTGGAGTGCTCTCATGCAATCAGCTGTTGCAGAAACTTCGAGCAGCGATATAGGGCCACAAGAGGAGTGGAGTGGTCTGGTAAACAGCACCGAAGTCCCTTTAGCAAATCAGCACCTTTTGCCGTACAATGAGAGTGGTAAACAAGATGAATCTTTGGCTGATGACAATATGCAGATGCCTTCCGCATTCACTTCGGGTTCAGCTCCCCCTTCTGATGACAGCCGTATGAACAATAACTATCAGAATGCCACGGGGCTTGATCAATTTGTACACAAGTTTCAAGGTAAACCTGGTCAAACATTGAAGTCTGAGATATCTCTAAGACTTAACCAGTCATTGGAGGAAGCAAACCAGTGGTCAAATTGTGGTCCACTACAAAGGTCAGTTGCTGAAGGGAGTCAGCTATATAAAAATGTCTCACGACATTCTCTTGATGCAGAGAAAAATTCAAAGAGCACTTCTACAGCATGGAACTCCGAGCATAGTGGAAGAAAACAGCCAACCAATTGGAAAGCCTTGGGTCATGTAAAACATTCCATGGAAAATGGAGGGGACTTGAGTTTGAATGATGCTGCTTCCATGCCTAACTCAAGTGCCACAGGGTTCGATGCTGAAAACATTCAATTTGTTCAGAATAGTTATTTACTCAATCAAATGAAAAATACCAATCCTTTGGTTAAATCCCAAAGAGGTGAAGGCTTAGGGAGCATGCTGCACAGTACAAATGAAGGTAATCAGGTTTCAGATTCAGCTCATGGTTGTGACAGAGAGGAAGTTACAACACACGAGATGGACAGTTCTGATTTGAAGGGAAATTCTAATGAGAGTTTCCCTACCTTATTACAGCACATTCCTAGTAATTTGAGGGACCACAGTTCTGATGCTAGCGATTCAGAATCTCTGCCCACTGGCAAGCCAAAGTCGACTAATCAGCTTGGTAGGAAAGCTTCTGGTCCTCGCAAGTTTCAGTATCATCCCATGGGAAACTTGGATGAGGATTTGGAATCTGCTCATGGAATGAAGCAGCGTACCCATGCATTGATCATGTCCCAGCAAAATGTGCATCTTGGCGAGTCAAAGTTTTTTAATCAGGTCCCAAAAAAATCTACAGTGATGTTCAACATGATTTATGAATTGATACAATATGTATGTATATACTTTTAACTTTAATGTGTTAGAAAGTTTGAATACTTATTCTTATTTACAGGGACAATCTCATCTTCAGAGAGACAACAAAGGCCTTGAAGAGGGGCCATCCCGGGGAAGCCTTCCTGGTTATATGCCAAATATTTCTGTTCCTTTTAACAGATCTGTGGATGCATACACACCAAACAAGACTTCATTAAGGTAATTCTCTGTTCATGTTTGATTCCTTTAGTACTTATGTGCTACTACTTATTTAATTATTTGCATTTAATCCAGACAAAATATGCTGGAGCTTCTTCACAAGGTGGATCGACCCGCCGTTCTTGGTTCCATGATGCACTTCAATTCTTCTGAACAGAATGCATCATTTAAGCTACCTGAAACAGAAAATTATGATAGTTCTGTTGACCAACTCCACTGCAATAATTCTTCTTCCTCTCAAGGTTTCAGATTGCAGCTTGGTCCTCCATCTCAATTGATGCAGATTTCAGAACATTCACCGACTTCTGGAACTGTTCAACATACAAATGATTCACCACATTCAAGTCAGGCTGGTGCAGAAATTGGAGAGAAGGGCCTGCGCATGGTTACATCTTCAATTCAATCAGCGCCTTTTTCTGATGAACAATCCAAGACTCAGTTAAAAAATGAGAGATCTGAAATTCCAGGCCAAATTGAAAGTGGATCCACTCTGTATAAGATATCTGGAAATTTTTCTTCAATGCTAAATTCTGGCTCTGGCCTCTCAATAAGTCATCTTCATCATCAACAGATGACCAGGGCAAGTGGACAAATGTCAGTTAATCAGCATATTAACTCATCATTTGATAGAAATGCTTCCCACTCCATCCAGAATGGATCTAAGGAAACCTTTTTGCTTAATGCATCTTGCAGTACTCTACATGAAAATCATGTGTCTTCGGGGGGCACATCTCGGCAAACCAGCACTAATGATCCACAGGCAAGAGGATCAACTAATATGTCAGCTAGGGATCATATGCCTGCTTCTCAACCATTGGGCCCGCATGGTGCATCTGCACAGATGTTTACGTGGACCAATGTTCCTACACACCAACAAACTCTGGGTGCTCAGTTTCACAAGGTGTCGGCACATTTTCCAGAGTCACCCCAACCAAATATTGTGGAATCAAGTTCCTCTGTAATCCATACTGTAGGTGATCATTATGTGAGGAAAGGTGAGAATCTCCCATCTGAATGCAGTGGAATTCCTATGAACTCTGCAGTTGTTAGTGGGGAAGGGCTAAGGTTGAAGGAAAGCACTGAAAGGCTAGTAATATCTGCAAGCAGTGACCTAGATCCAAAGATGAACGAATCACATGGGAAAGTATCCTCTATCCAGTATCCTTTGGATGATTCTTCTGCTAATTCTTCTTCAAAACAAAAGGATATTGAAGCATTTGGTCGGTCTTTGAAATCGAATAGTTCTCATGAAAATTACTCCTTACTAAATCAAGTGCGGGCTATGAAGGATGCAGAGATTGATCCAAACATTAGGGTCTCAAAGAGAATGAGAGGACCAGATAATGGTCCGGATGTTCATCAAGTAGCCTTGGAAGAAGGGCAGGCAAATGAACATAATTCTATTAATGGAGATTCATTAGGTTCTAATGCTGCAGTTTCATCCGGGGATTCGAGAATGCAAATATTCTTCAGGTCGGCTGATAACTTGGAAAAGAATGTCACTTCTCAACATGGAAATTTAGCTTCTCAGGACGTGCTTGCATTTGGCCGGGATACTTGTCAGAGAATTTCTCCTGGTCCGCAGATGGCATCATCCTGGTTCAATAACTATGGAACTTCTAAAAATGGACAAATTTGGCCAATGTACAGCACAAGCATGGTCACCACTTCAAGAACAGCAGAACCGTCTTTTGCTCTTGGGAAATCTTCCAGTAGCTTGAATACACATAATTCCATGGGTGTTACAAGTCTAGTTGGTGGCACCCAACAAAGTTCTATTCCTTCATCGGTAGCATCTGAACGTTTCGCTTCTCCCGAGTCATTGCACATGGTAATATTGGAAACCAAGAAGCGCAAGGATGCTACTTCTGAACATCATCCTTGGCACAAGGAAGTATCACAGGGATTACAAAAACTAAAAACTCTCAGGTGGTTATCATGATTATCTACTTTTCAATTTTTTTGTTCTTTTTCTTTACAGACCCTTGTTTATATTATATAGTGGAGTTGAATAGTTATTTGATTTTATTACGTATGTTCGATGATAATTTGTTTCAATGTCCTCTTGTTTGATAATCTACATTCATTTTACTACTTTCAGGATGGCAGAAGTCAATTGGTGTAAAACATCAAATCGGCTAACTGATAAGGTGTGATGGTGTTGCTAACTCTGCTCCTCTTTTCTTCATGTACTTGATTACTCACATGGTCCTCCACATCTTCTTTCTTCTTTTCTGATGGCAGGTGGAAGATATTGACTTGATTGAAGATGGACTGCAGTTGCTTAGATCAAAGAGAAGGCTTATCTTGACAACACAACTTATGCAGCAATTGATTTGCCCTCCACCAGTAGCAGTTCTCTCCTCTGATGCTAGTTCAGATTATGAGAGCGTAGCTTACTCTGTCTCTAGAATAGCATTGGGAGAGGCTTGCAGTGCAGTTTCTCACTCAAGTAATTCAGATGTGTCTCATGATGGAGAAGACATGTAAGAAATAGTCATATATTGCCTGAAATTGTTCAATCAATTTATGGCAGTATCTTTCGGTCTTGTAATTTATTCAGATTATTTTGTTTGAATAACTAGCTCTTTACGAAATATATTGTAGACTTTCTACTAAGGGCAAACAATCAGAGGGAATTGGCGGTTGTCTTTTTGGAAAAGCTGTCACAGAGTTTATGGGAAGAGCAATGAAGCTAGAAAATGAGTTCTTGAGGTAAACTATCTTGATTTGTCCAATTTCTTGCGAGATGTATCCACTCTCTATTCACTTTGATGATAACTGTGCATTTTATAACAAAAAAATTGAAGTTAGATGTGATTTTTGCTTGTGATCCATGGAAATTGGAAGGTTTTATCTAGATGGATGGGAACAGAGTTTTCCTGACTGCCTGAGGTGCAGGCCTTCAGGTGTTCCTGATGCAACTAAGAGCTCAAAGTTTGACATTTTAACTTCCTTTTGTCAAGGCATAAGCCTTGAGTTACTGATCTGCATGCTAACAGCTAAGCCCCAGGCTCTGGGTTGTGCACTTCTTAAAGCATGTTTGGCTAGGCTCAAAAGGTGCTTAAACTCTATCATCTCACTTGCTGTCAAAAAAAAAAAAAAAAAAACTGCCTTGAAGCCAAACGTGCTGCTAGTATTCCCTTTCTTGGTTTTTTTTACCATCCTGAACTTTATGAGCTATTTATTTTTACGGAGTGAAGTTTTGAGTGGTGGTTTGGGCTATTTTAAATACGGTCCAACTGCAAAAATTGGAAAATAAATAATTGGAGGCTAAAGTGAGGAAGTGAAGAACACGTGCTTGCCCTACCCAATTCTATGTTTTTAGGTGCAAATAAGATTTTCAGTTTTGTTGAAATGTTTTATTATGAACTTTTAGATTGTTTATGGTTTGTAACGAGTACACGTTTGTGTCTTTATAATTTTTTTAATTTTTTTATTGGTTCATGGCGAGGGCTTATAATGTTGTTTCTGGAAGTAAAAATGACTAGATACCCTATACGCTCTTTTTATTTTTAATTCTTTTGTTCTCACTGCTTTATTCCTTTACACTTGTATCTGTTTCTATTTTGGAAGGGGTGTGGTGGTGGTGTCGTCTTTATGCTCTAGTACTAATTGTCAAATTTAATTTTTCAGACAAGACAAGAGTGCATCAATATTGGACCTGAGAGTTGAATGCCAAGATCTGGAAAAGTTTTCTGTCATAAATCGTTTTGCTAAATTCCATGGCCGGGGACAAAGTAATAGTGCTGAGTCACCATCAACCTCTGATGTCACATCAAGTATTCATAAACCTTTCCTGCAGAGATATGTCACTGCTCTTCCAATGCCTAGAAGTATTCCTGACTGGGTACAATGTCTATCACTATGATTATTACATTATTGATTTTCTCAGGTTTCAGGGTCAACTGTCTCCATCTTTGTCTGTTTCCCTTGGTTATATACTGGCAGCTGCCCGGACACAAATAGGATTATAGTATGAAAATGCCAAAGGGTGGACATGAAGCCGTCCCCTCAAACATGATTGAGGCTGTTCGATCTTTTGAATTTAGGCCATTGATGTCATTATTGAGAAATACCAGGTTACAGTTCATGTTTTAAAACAGTGAGAAATTTGGGGTGCCTCATCATTTTACCGACCAGGGAATAGTACAAGTGTGTCATGATTATTCAAATATATCAAGTAGAGAGGTTTCTTTTATATATAGAAGCAGGTATAAATGTCTTTTGATTGACGAATTATGGAACTTATTTTTTAATTTTTAAATTAATGGGTTATTTCCATCTGGAGTCTTTTATGAACGCGGTTCATGATTTAGGATTTCTTTTCAGGAGTAAGAAATTTGTTTATCTACTTTTATTAGAAGTGAAATGAGCATGTTATTTAATTTCAATTTTCACATAGGTGACGGCATTTTTCGGTGTGTGCCATCGACTTTTGTTTCAGAAATCAATAGTGAACTTGTGACCTCATGTTGTTAATGTATCTTCGGTGTTGTACAGTTTAGAATCATGTTCATTTCAGTTGTCTAGTATGGGAAAATTAGTGTTGACACCCCAGCATTTCAGGTAACGTGCTTTTGGGTCCCTGATGGGTTTCAAGGCCCCAAACCTAAACCTATGTAAATTTGTGAATTAAGTGTACACGGATAGAGATAGACAACGTGGACATTAAAATTTGCACGTGACTTCAAAGTTATGGGGGCAAAATCATCAAATCATTTTAAGTTCAAGTGCAGGAAAGATGACATCATCTTTTCGAGTATCTTTCAGATATTAGATGAATTAGATGTGAATGCTTTAGCTTTCTCAATTAATCATACTATCCACAGGGAAAAGCTTTCGCTCTTTTTGATTCTTTGAGATTATACTCGTCACTAAAAGAATGTTTGTTAGAACTCAAATCAAATTATCACTGATATGGATTCAACTCAAATTAGTGCATTACGACATTCAAAGCACTTAAATAGGTGACACTGGCATTATTATTGAGGTGCTTGAAGTCTTGTGCCCCTCCAACCTTGACTAGCACACAAGTACACTAAGGGAGGTCTCTTGTCATTACTATTTTTCGTAGATGATTGTTCTAATTCGAATTTCTATTTTGTGGGCACAAGATTGGCACCGTCATCAGTTCATGATTGCAAATTATTGCTTTTACCGGCATCAATTTGAGGGGTAATATCAATGAGATTGTCGAAAATTGCGTTCTATATTACTATTATACTTGTACTAAATATAGATATATTACTTTTATCATATTTAGTTTGATTTGGTTCTATTTAATGAGAGAATCTCTCACATTGAGGGGCATCAAGTTATAGAGTATTATTCAGTATATTTGACATTTTGTACCATTTGCTATTAGATGAAAAATAACTTAATAGGTTACTTTTAGCTAAGAACATGGTAAGATGCACTCAAAGTGCACTTATCAACAAAAAATAAAATTTATGATGCATGTGAATTGCATGCATTTATACATGCAACGCATGGACGCTTAATCGCAACCATGTTATTTATGTGTAAGCATTTGAAGGAGATGTATGTCACACATGAACCATCAGTAGGTCCTTGAGTCTTCTCATTCCTCTCATTACCATCCCATGATCTTTCGAATCATTTGGAGTTCTCAATGACCTGGATTGCTTGTTGAGGGGGGCATGCATACTCCGCGCCTCCTCGAATGATACAATGGATGCTGACAATTCCTCCGCTTAGTCTAAACAATAATGCTACTTGAACAATAAATTTGATAACAAATTTGACAATGTGTGAGTTGGCATACATTATACTCATTGATTTGAAAAACTGCTTTTAATTCAATGATTAGGATCTTTTTATTTTACACATTGTTAAATTTATTGTGCAAATTCATTGTACAAAAAGATTAGTCTAAATCATCTTCTGAATTACTCAAATCCTTATTAATATCTTTACTTTTACTCCACTAGAATCCAATGAATTTATGATGTATCAATGTCATGATGCTCCCATGGACTCTACCTTGTGTCCGTGTCTTACTCGAGAATTATTGGCTGTCTTTCCGGATACAAACATTTTCAAGATCAAGTACATCAAAAATGACTTCATGTGAGCATGTTTCTTTACCTTTTTCTTTTTCCTTTTTTTTGATCGGTAAATAAATTTATATTATATTGATCAAAATTGAGTAAAACTACTCTGGACATACCTGACAAACAATCCAAGCATTACAATGATCTAATGATCCAAAACAAGAGACGCAACACGAATCAAAACATTACAACTTCGGCTGATCAAGAACACGAAGTACCGAACTGTTGACGGGTTTCAAATCTTACGAGAGGAGATGAAAAACTTGAATCTTTCAAGAACAATTCATAACCATTCTGGCCTAACTTCACAACTTCGAGGAACTTGAAACTTTGAATTTGGACAGATTTTAACAAAATCTGCGTTGTTGGATTCGAAATTACCAATTGATGAAGGTAAAATCGAACAAAGATTAATGAATTCACATATGCAAGGGGTTCCTTTGAGCTAATCATTAAGGCTACCTTCGAATTCTGCTTTCCCGGTTGAAGAATGTTGAGCAGCATCATGTGAAGGGGAATTTTCAAATTGCTTACCTTGTAAATGGGCAGCACACATTTTTAGCAGCAAGAGAAAAATCCATATCAATGCTGAAAAACCAAGAAACCCGTATGGAAGAGGTTTATATGACTAGCATCATGCCAAGCGAGATTTCGAACCCAAGCTGAAAACTTCCAGGCGGCCAGACTGTCGGTGGAAAACAAGGGCTGCAAGAAACAGACCCAATATGCTGCCAAGAAGTAGACACTGTTGGAAAAAATGAGTAATGATTCACTTTTGGCAAAGATTTTTGGTGGGATCCGTTGTTTCAAAATGGAAGATCAAAGTTGATCCTTATTCTCCTCCGTGAGAGCATTAAAATCATATATTTATTTATCAAAATTGATGAATGGATAAATGAGAAATTAAAGCTCAAAGATGACCATTGGAAGATGGTTTATGTGAGAAAATAAAACTAGCCCCATATAAGAAAATGAAAAAAGTATTAACTACTTTATATAGGATTGCACATTGCAATGATGTAATCATGTGTAACATAGAGGTTCTCCCACGTGCGCGTGCAGGGGGTGCAAATCATGGATCGAAATTGCTTTCGGACCTTGAATTTGTATGCGGGCGTGACCTGCGTACACATATATTTTTGGAATGTCCACGTTTTATATTTTTTTACTTTCTTCAACTTACTTTTGAGTTTCCAAAACTCTAGCAGAAACTGAAGTGGCTCTGAAATGTCCACGTTTTGTATTTTTTTTGCTTTCTTCAACTGACTTTTGAGTTTCCAAAACTCTAACAGAAATTGAAGTGGCTCTAGTGTTTATTGCCATGGAGTTATTGGATAGATTTATGTTATATTAAATATCAATTTTCCAACAATTCATACACACGAAAAAAAATCTCTCTGTCTTGCACCAAAAGTACTTTTGTTCTGTCTGCATATATATAATCTCAGTTTCCATCTCTAGTCGTGGTGGTGATATTGTTCGAATACAAACTCAATTCGCTGGAGTAGTTTCTGTGGTGCTAAGATTCTATGGATTTTACCGTTGTATCCTGAAAAACAGATGCTCGGATTAGACCTTAAGCACTTACGGTGAGGGGTCGAATCTGTTTTAAGGAAACTGTGCTCGCACAGGCCTCAAGTTAAAAATTTATTTATCTTCTGCAATTTACATATTTGCAATTTATTCTTGCAAGTTATTTATTTATTTAGCGATTTATACGTTTGCAATTTACTAGATTCATATATTTTGCAGTTTTCTTGTTTTTATATTTATGTTAGAAATAAAAAAAATAAAAATAAACTATATATATATTTGAATTTTCTCGCTAACAGTTGGTAAATGTAACTCGATATATGTATGTTACATATACGATATTTCTATTGAAAAAAAAATTGTGTTATTTTAATAAAAATAGTTTGTACTAATTTTACACATATACGGTGAGTTTCGCTGCCAAATACAGTAAGCTGTCATATACGATGAGCTATATTGCCATATACGGTAAGTTGCAAATATGGTAAGGTGCAAATATGATAAGTTACCTGTAAATACGGTAAGTTGCATATATGGTATATTGTATATACGATATGTTTAAAATCGATATCTAAACTGCATATACGGTATGCGATAATCCTATTTCATTAACACCACTATATTCCAACAAATTTAAAATAAATTCGTTGAGAAAAAAATTGGTTTCTTATACTGTTAATTTTGAAAACTAATTTTTTTGTTTGATTTTCTGAAATGGCAACCGAATTGGCCAACATGGATGTGACCCAAGCTGTGCCTACTGAAAATCAGGCTATGGGCTCAGCTGTGACTCAATGGCCAAGCTCTGATGTGGCTCAGACTGTGGCTAAATTACCAAGTCATGTTGTGAGTCAAACAGTGGCTCGTTAATGATCCAATTAATCATAGAGAAAATCGGAGAAATTCAATGACTTGAATTTCAAAAGGTGGCAGCAGAAAATGTTATTTTATCTTACCACTTTGAATCTTGCGAGATTCTTGATTGAGACTGCTCCAAAACTCAATGAGGGTAAAAGAGATGTTCAAGCAATCAGTGCACTTGATACTTGGAACCACTCGGATTTTTTGTGCCGAAATTATATTATGAACATCTTAGCAGACACGCTATACAATGTGTATAGTACTATGAAAACTGCTAAAAAACTGTGGGAGCCTTTGGACCGAAAATATAAAACTGAGGATGTCGAGGCTAAAAAGTTCATTGTTGGTAGATTCTTGGATTATAAAATGGTGGACTCCAAAAAAGTTATTAGTCAAGTGTAAGAACTCCAAGTGATTCTTCACGAAATTCATGCCAAATGGATGATTTTGAGTGAAACTTTTCAAGTTGCTGCAATTATTGAAAAATTGTCTCCCGCATGGAAAGATTTCAAAAATTATTTGAAGCACAAAAGAAAGGAAATAAATGTCGAAAAACTAATTGTTAGACTTCAAATTGAAGACAACAAGAGTTCTGAAAAGAAGTGGTTCAATCCTGGTGTTGCTAAAGCTAATGTTGTGGAGCATGATCAAATTAGTAAGAATTACAAAAATAAGTCTGGACCATCCGGTGGCAAAAGGACCAAGCAAGGACTGAAAGGTGGAATTTCTAAGAAGAAATTTCAAAAAAAATGTTTTAATTATGACAAAGTGGGCCACAAGATGTTGGCAGATTGTCAAAGAAGAAGAACGAAGCAAATGTGGTTGACTATATGGCACAAGATGTGTCGGAGCTGAATCTCTGAGCTATCATTTCCGAAGTAAACATGGTGGGTTCAAACCCTAAGGAGTGGTGGGTTGACATCGGTGCTACGAGGCATGTGTGCTCTGATAAGGAGCCGTTTACTGCGTTTGAAGCAATTAAGAATGGGAAGAAGTTGTTCATGGGAAATTCAGCAACTTCTGAAATCAAGGGACAAGGAAAGGTGGTCTAAAGATGACCTCGGGAAAAGAGTTGACCCTCAACAATGTGCTATATGTGCCAAAAATTCGCAAGAACCTAATGTCTAGGTCGCTTTTGAATAAGCATAGCTTTTGCATTGTATTTGAGTGAGATAAAGTTATGTTGTCAAAAAAGTAGAATGTTTGTCGAAAAATGATATGTTTCCGATTGTATGTTTAAACTCAATGTAATGGTAGTTAAGCCGAAAATGAATAAAGCAAACTCTTCTACTTATTTGCTTGAGTCTTCCAATTTGTAGCATGGTAGATTAGAACATGTTAACTATGATACTTTACGAAGACTAGTTAACTTGAATTGCATACCCGAGTTCCACATTGATTCAAAACATAAGTATGAAACTTGTGTTGAGATAAGATTGACAAGGTCATCGTTTAAAACAATTGAACGGAATACAGAACCGCTTGATTTAATTCATAGCGACGCATGTGACTTAAAACTCGTACAAACAAAAGGTGGCAACAAGTATTTCATTACTTTTGTCGACGATAGCACCAAATACTGTTATGTGTATTTGCTAAAAAGTAAAAATGAAACTATAGGGAAATTTGTTCTCTATAAGAGTGAAGTTGAAACTCAACTTAATAAGAAAATTAAGGTGTTAAGAAGCGATCGAGGTGGTAAGTATGAAGTACCATTTGGGAATTTTGTGCACAACACGAAATCATACATGAAACCACCGCACCTTATTCACTGCAACAAAACGGTGTTGTTGAACAGAAAAATCGTACTTTAAAGGAAATGATAAATGCAATGCTAGTAAGTTCTGAGTTACCTTAGAACATTTGGGGGGAAGCTGTGTTACCAGCAAATTACCTTTTAAATAAGGTACCCCGAAAGAAAATGAAAAAGACCATTTATGAGTTATGGAAAGGAAAAAAGTCTTCCTATAAATACTTACGAGTGTGGGGGTGTCTTGCCAAAGTGTCTGTTCCAACACCAAAGAAGGTAAGGATAGGGCTAAAAATGGTAGATTGCATCTTCATTGGCTATGCACACAATAGTAGTGTTTATTGGTTTCTTGTGTATGACTCTAAAATCCCAGAAAAACACGATATTGGAATCAAGAAATACTTCATTCTTTGAACATGTATTTCCGTACAAGTCCAAAAATGAAGCAAGCTCTTCTAAACGAACATATGAGACTATGACTGAAAATAGTCATGACGAAGAATTAGAAGAGGAGACTGAGGTTAGACGTAGCAAACGGGAAAGGACAGAAAAATCATATGGTCCTAATTTTCTGATCTATATGCTACAAAGTGAACCTCAAAGTTATCACGAGGCTGTGAATTCTTCGGAAGGACCTCAATGGAAGGAGGCCATTAAAAATGGGAGCTAGTGGATCTTCCTCCAGGAAACAAACCACTAGGCTATAAATGGATTTTCAAAAGGAAAATGAGAGCAGATGGAACTATCGAAAAATATGAGGCCAGATTAGTAATAAAATGTTACAAACAAAGGGAATTCCTTGATTACTTTGATACGTATTCTCCAGTGACGAGAATAACATCTATTAGGTTAATACTTGCGAATGTCGCTTTGCGAAATCTTGAAGTATAATAAATGGATGTTAAAACTGTCTTTCTAAATGGAGATTTAGAAGAAGAAATTTATATGGAACAATCCAAGAGGTTTTCGTCACCAGGGCAGGAAAAGAATATTTGTAAATTGGTGAAGTCACTATATATGGCTTGAAAAAAGCACCCAAACAATGGAATGAAAATTTTGATAATGTCATGATAGAGAGTAAATTTAAAATCAATGAGTGTGACAAATTTGTTTCCATCAAAGACACTAAAGATGGTTAGTCTTTTTATGTCTTTACGTTGACGACATGCTTATTGTTGGTAGTAACAATAAGATGATTGAATCCACTAAAAATATGTTGAATTCGAGATTTGACATGAAAGATATGGGTTTAGCTGATATTACACTTGGAGTAAAAATCTTAAAAACATCATATGGACTTCTAAGTCAGTCACATTATGTGGACAAAATTTTGGAAAAGTTCAATAAGGATGATACTGGCTTGGCTAGAACACCAATAGATATAAGTCAACACCTATCTAAAAACAAAGGTGAAAGTGTCTCTCAAGTAGAATACTCGAGAGTTATTGGAAGTCTAATGTGCCTGATGAGTTGTACAAGACCAGATATAACCTACACAGTCAGTAAATTGAGTAGATGCACGAGTAATTCAGGAGTTGATCACTGGAAAGGAATAGTAAGAGTAATAAGGTACTTAAGATATACTCGTGACTATGGACTACATTATACCAGATATCTAGCGAT